TAGCTTATTAATAAAAAAAATTATTTATATTTTTAAATAAAATTATTTATATTTTTAAAAATTAGTAATAAATCTCTTTTTTTATTACTAATTACTAATACTAACTAATACTAAAAAAATAATTAGTAATTAGTATTAGTAATTAGTAATTATAAAAAAAAATAATTAGTAAATTAGTAATTAGTAATTAGTAATTAGTAAGTATTAGTAAGAAAAATTAGTAATTAGTATTACTAATTACTAATAAATTTACAACCCTGCTACAGAGTCAAAAACGCAGGGACCCTGAGCTTTCGGTGCTGACGACAGCTGCTAGGAGAATGATCCACCTCCAGCACCACCACTTGATTTTTTTCCTCCATGATCAACACAGGAAAACAAACAAGAAAAACAAACGGGATGACTTTGTATGACTACGGCAACTGGGCGGGATAACGCAGACGGTACCACTCTATTTTTGCTGAAAGGTTACACAATTTAAGTTTGTGCAAGATTGAGTTGCCGTTGTCAAAGAGAGCGGGTGTCAGATGGAAACACCCGTTGTGCTGACAACGAAGAATTAAAGCATGAAGCTGTCAGCCTCTGTCACGTCAAAGTACCATGCCCAATCCTTATCCACTATCGCGATGTGGGATGAAAGTCTGCTACAGTACCTATTCGATCAGGTAAACGCAGCCTTACAAGAGAGCATACAAAATAAGACATTTTTCGCGATATTATCGATTATTCCCCTGTCTAGATTCCTGTCTGAAGGAACTGACATGCAAAGCCTCCCCTCCATCTTTAAAACACAGCCTTTGCTAGCCCCGGGTATCGAGAATGTGTACGTAGACCGCGTCTAATTTTAGATTTTGCCGCGTTTTTTTGCCTCGCTCAGCCCTCTCAGAGTCTGAGATTCTCAGTCTCACTCGCTTTCTACCTAGGGTCCCCCCACATCACGCTGGCTTCCAGTGACAACCCCTGGAAGCTTACAGACTCTGCTGCACCGCCTTTCAGTCCACGCCGTTACCGGCACATGGGAACTGATTGATAATTTGTTACGGGGGAGCCAACGAATGATGAAACTGCGGCATCTTTATTTTGACATCAAACCCAATTATCAATTCATCCCACTATCAACCCGAGAAGAGAAATCTACCGTCATCCACCGACTTTTCGTCTGCATTCTGACCATTTATTATCACCGGTTTGGGAATGGTCAAGCTTACACATGCAAGGGCCAAACTCTGAGCCTGACAGATGCTGACTTCAGCTGCCACGACTTTGTCACTTATCACCAAAGTCCTTCTTCCACATGCAGCTAGTCTTTATTTTTCGTACTGACCGATGTTTTGACCCTACCGCCTCGGTACTGCTATCAATGTGGTGAACTCCGTGTCGGCATAGGGTAGACTCGTTGGCTTTGTTGTACAGGAAAGACTATGAGGGGGAACTGCTGGCATAAATTATTGGATTATCGTCTTCCTGGAACCCATCAACATATCACAACATGGTCACCTTTCACTTTGACGACATATTAAAGACATAAGAGCTATGACTTGAGATACATGATTTAGACAAATTACTACACGTCTGTGCTTGTGTTGGGAAGATTCTCTTCACTTCCCTTCCAAAATGAACAATACTGAGCTGCATCCGTCAATCCTACCATAAGAACCGACACTCTTGGTTCCCCCGACCAATCTCATTCTGCAGTAGTTGCTCTCCCATTCTTCTTTATTCTTCTTCACCGCAGCAAGCTGTGGCAGCTTACTCACACACAACCGTGGCCTTGCAGAGAGTCATCTCACTGTCGTAGTTGTTGCCGTCAGCGTTTCCGAGCTTAATGAGCATCGGCGAAATGAAAAATCTGATGATCGTCTTCGGGGAAGGCTCCTTGGTGTGTACGAGTGATTCCATCTGATTTGTGTCGAAATGCTGCAGTGTCTCAGACTGTCCATGTTGGGGCCAGCGAACCAAAAAGATCGCTTTGGAGCTCATCAACATCTCGTCTAGGTCCAGCGCAGCCTCAAGGATGGCCTTCATCTCTTGGTGAAAATCAGTTCCCGACTTGTCTGCTGTGATGTTACAGAATTGCTTCAGTCCCTCAACTTCAAGTCGTGCCTCGCGTCTGAAGGCGTCTTGGTCACGCCCGAAGAAGTGCCCAAAGAGGGCTGTGCCCTGGGCAAACCATCTTGCTACATTTCGAAGCGTTGGTCCTGGGCGCGAAGGGTTGCAAACCTCTGGAGCATGTTCTACAAGATTCGTTAGCTTTACCTTGTGCCATCTAGCAACGAAGTCCGAACTAACCGAGAAATGCAGCTCGCATGGCCTTTAGGTCTTTGTTGTAACCCCCACTGCAGAATCTCGCTCCGGCCGTGAAGATAGTCTCAACGATAGTCCAGATATAAGCGCCGATGAGAAAGTTCTTGTAGTCATGGACGACAAGCAGTTTGGGCCAGGCTGGGGAGATCTCCTCCAATCGGGCTCTGGTACGTTTGTCTGATGGCATTTTCATCTGACACTTGGCTAAGACACTTGCCAGGGAGCGAATGTTATATTCGAGCTGTTTCCACTTGCTCCGTATTTCTTGATCCGATATCTTGGCTGATCCTGTCCAGTTGACGCCGTCAGCGAGTCTTCGCAGCTCGTCTCGCTCGTTGACAGCCTCGTCAACCTTGGCATTCGCCTCCTTCAACTGCTGCTTGAGGGCCTCGTGCTCGAACTTCAGCTGTCGGTGCTGAGTGTCGACATCGACGAGTTGTTTGTGAGTTTCCTGAAGGTAGTCCTTCAAGTCTGGGCCTTGGCTTGTTGTGTGTTTGAGCCACTGAGTTACGCTGCCCATGATATTGTTGGCAATGCTGGATAGATGGTCCGCTGCTTGTTGAAGCGTAGATCGCTGTGCCTCTGCGCGTCGATCGGAAACCTGGAGAAATTGGTTCACCCGTCCCTCCTGTATCCGAAGGAATTCATCGATTGCAAGTGTATCAACGACGTTCCCAAAGCCCCGGGGATATGTACTGCCATGCTGTCTTGGGTCACCTTCAGGACTACTGGCGTCGATGAGAGGCCCGGATGCATGAGATTGGTGAGGGTATCTAGCAGCAGCTGCTGCATGAGGAGTGCCGTTATGCATGTTGAGCTGGCTGTGCCCTCCTGTTTTGGAATTCGTGCTCAATAGATGAGATTGGCCAAGAATGGTATCTGCCGAGGTTTCTCAGTAAAAGCTCAGTTCCGATTTATTTCACAAGACGAAATGATACTCACTGGATGTTGACTTGGAAGCAAGTCAGTATTTCGAAAGAGACGATGCAGGAGGTAAGGCCAACGCTATCGGAACACTTGCAAGGACAAAGCGTAGGGTACTACTCCTAAGTTCTCGTAAAAAAACAGAAAACGGGCATTTAATAAATAAGGGAAATATTAAGGATCAACAATGTGTGAAGACTTCAGAGTTCGCCCCGGAAAATGCATCAATAACCACCTTACTTAGGCACTGATACTTCTGTAACAGATTTGAAGGGCCCCAGAAAAGTTGATGATGAGCTCCGTCACTGCGTGCATCTGTCATAAGCCTCTGGGTTCGTTTACTAGGTACTCAAGTATCAACCTACCTAGTAAGCAGCTGGCAGATACTGGCACTGGCAAAAGAATATTGCTACCTGGACCTAATCACTGCGGCAATCTCCATACCTACCTATATCTCCGTCCTTGACCCCCCTCTCTCTTCTTTCTTTCTTATCATTCACCCCTTCGCCATTTCTCTCCCTTCTTACAGCATCTGCCTAGCAATTCATTACCTAGGGATACAGGAATCCAGGCAATATGACTGCTAACAAACCTCTCGATGATGCCATCATCATCGGCATAGACTTTGGGACTACGTAAGTTGAGAAGTCGCTGCAAAATACCAGATACTAAAAATGTTAACAGGTACTCGGGTGTCGCTTGGGCCTACTCACGCGAGCCTGAGGAGATCGAAATTGTGACTAGCTGGGAATCTGAACTTAATCATTGTTCCGACGTGGAGAAAGCACCTACCCAGATTCACTATGGTCAAAATAACCAGGACATCAAATGGGGATATGGCATTTCCCCCGAACATGAACCCTTGAAGTGGTTCAAGCTTTTGCTCCTCGAACCCAAAGACATCCCTCAAGGCGCTGCTAACTCTACCCAGCTCAAGGAGGCACGTCGTCTACAGAGCAAGGCCGGAAGGGAGCCCGTCAAAATCGTGGCATGCTTCCTTCGAAAGATCTGGGATCACTCTGTCGAGTCCATCAGACGTACTATTGGGGATGATGTTATGAAGCGATCCAATTTCCAGGTCGTCATCACCTTGCCGGCCATCTGGCCCCCCTATGCTCAGCATCGAATGAAAATGGCTGCCAATCAGGCAGGCATTCTGGATCCACGCCCTGCTGGCCCTACTACTCTCCGCTTCGTCTCTGAACCAGAAGCTGCAGCACTCGCTACCATCAAAGATCTCTCCAAGCGCTCGAGTATCAAGGTAGGCATATGCATCGTTGTCGATGTAGCAGAATTTCAGTGGGCTGATGGATGGGCAGGCTGGTGACACAATCGTTGTCTGCGATGCAGGAGGTGGCACGGTTGTAGGTTCATCTCAAGCCAGAAACTTGACGCTGCTGACATTTCAAAGGATCTCATTAGCTACATCTTTCAATCAACTGATCCATTCGTTGTCAAGGAATGTGTCAAAGGCGATGGTCAGTCAACAAACACATACCGACTCGCCGAGAGAACTTGATGACTGACTTACAGACAGGCGACCTCTGTGGGGGAGTTTTTCTTGACGAGGCCTTCATCAGATTTGTCAAGAGGAAGAGTCCCAAGGGTACATGGTTCCCTGTCACTAAGACCGAAGAGAGGAAATTTCTTAATGATGAGTGGGAGCATGGTATCAAACCTCAATTTGAGAATCAGCAGCGGATCTGGTCGCTCACTCTTCCCGATACTTGTGTCAACCCTTCTAGCCGAGGCTTGATGCGCCGTATGACACTTGATCTCACATCGTAAGTTCCAAGATAGCGAATCAAAGCGCTCAGCTAACTCTATTATAGCCAGGATCTTCTTTCAGTGTTCTCTCCGATCGTTGACAAGATTGAGGTCCTCGTCAGACGCCAGGTCGATGCAATCCATAGAAAATACCAGGAGAAGCCCAAGGTACGTAAAAGTAAACGCTTGTCAGTACTATGCTCCTGAATTCCTGTATAGTACATTATCCTTGTCGGTGGTTTCGGTCGCAGTCGCTTCCTTTTCAACCATCTTCAGGATCGGTTTGGACCTACCATCTTGCAGTCTCGTGGAAACAAGCCGTAAGCATTCATTTTTTACTTTATAAAAAGGATAACGGGGGTTATCTAACGGTTCTCTAGTTGGACTGCCATTTGCCGTGGCGCGGTCGTGCAGGGTCTCGTCCGACATAACCCCTTGGCTAATCTGGGTGTTGAAGTCGAGACACGGGTGGCTCGAATGAGCTATGGTATTAAAATCAGAGCACCATTCATGGAGGGACACCACAACCAGGCGGATAAGGTGTGGTCCCACGTATATCAAAAGTATCTAGCCGACAACCAAATGGCATGGTTTCTGAAAGAGGTAAAGAAGAACTAAATGCAGAAAGCTTCACTACTGACGGGGTTCGTAGGGCGAGGATATTTCAGAGAAGAGATGCGTTTTGCAGGCTTACGTCCGATATCTCGAAGTCCCATCTTTTCAAGGCCACGAGAGTGTTTACTGTACGGCGTCTCGTGCACCTCCTGAGCGGTATGGCGACTCGGATGACATTCACCACCTTTGCACGATGAAATGGGACAAAATTGTCGATGTTCACACGCTTCCGAAGTGGACCAACCCCGTTGCTGTTGCATACCCACGACTGGACTACCACATCAAGATGGATTGTGAAGATGGCACCGTGAACTTCTCAGTGCATTATCAAGGATCCAAAGTCGGAGAGGAAGAAGTTGAGGTTCAGTTCAACTGATGCGGTAACAGGATCATTCTCTCCCCAACAGCTGAGGTGCCCAGATCGTGGATTCTTTGATGGAATACTAGACCTTGCCATACACGTCTATGGGCAGACGATCGGGTGCCAAATATTAAGAGAGCATGGCAGCGAGTTCGGTGGATATGGCCTCTCACTTTTGAAGGGTGGGAAGTAATAGGCAGTTATATGGTTATGAAGGCACGAATGATCGTCTGAGGCTGGCGCATCAGATTTGATGCTGCAGGAGATCCAAAAACCGTAATGTCAGAGTAGTTTGTTGTTAACCATGTTTTGTCTTACATCGTTACAGTGTGTGATGCTTCTCCTCGGTGTTGTTCACCTTTACACAGAAAAGGAATAGTGCGCACTAGGCTAGCTGCAACCTGGCAAGCCAACGCGGGGATGTCTTCGGTGAGACAAGCACGAGGGATAGTCAGCTGTCACTGCACAGAGACTGTGTTATCGTAGTGTCTAGTGTGACAAACTATTGGTTCACTACGGAGGCGAGAACGGCGGCCTCAAAAGAGTTGACTGATGGACTATGATTTGATACATCATTATGCTCTCGTGTGTAGTCATAGTAGAAAGAGGGGTTGAGACTTGGCCTTTTCGCCATTATGCAGCAGCAGCTTGAATAGTTGATATAGTAGTTGTAGATATATGTGAACTGATTTAGATCGAGAGTCCGAATGTTTGACCGAGTTTCTCGTTTGTTTCGAAGCAGTGAATGGTTGAGACAGAACAAGCTCTCGCACGTGCCAACGGTTGTCTCCAACTCAGGTCAGTCTGAGTGTCAATCTCCAGGGATTCGGGTTAGTTATCAGGGGGGCCCGGGCCTTGAAGCCGTTGCATTTCGTGGTCTTTGGGTGACGAATCAATCCATGTCGGTTTTTATAGAGGTCCAGATTAGATCTTACCAGTCCAAATCTGTCTCGAGTCTCCGGTTCAGGTCCCGAGACCCAAAGATAATGAGACGACTACCGTGCAAAACCGCCATATGACAGGTTTAAGCGGAGGACGAATGCCGAGGATATCAAGTCAGAGGAAACAGCAGAGAATAGACAACTTGGTGAGAATCTTCGCCTCTTATCAAGTCTTGTCAAGCTTGGCCCTCCCACATTCTCACGTATCGTCCAAGCAATCGCTTGATACCCCTGCTTCACGCCCAACCTCGCATTGCTGAGCCTCCCCTCCATTGGGCGCCGATCAAGAACCACCCCGGACGAACCAGTCTTGGCTTCATTGCTTGTCATTGAGCTTCTGTTTCAGTCTTTTTTTGGCCTCTGCTGTTGTCTCTCTGTCGTCTTGTCTTGTCTCGAGTGACCTCAATACGACGATGTGAGCTCCGTCCAATGATCCTCTCAAGACGTCAACTGAACTGTCGTCACTAACCACAAGACGCCCTAGTTCGAAATCACTGAACTCTGTCCGACAAGCAAGAGAAGAGGGTGTGGAACCTTATTCCATAGCCTGCGCCTGTCCAAGCATGCCCGTCCTCCACTGTCTGTTATAGCCTGAGCCTGAGCCGCCACTTCGCTTCCAAACTGACCTTATCCGGCTCCGCTCCGTTGCTCTACTGCGCGCTGTAGGCCCTCGACCGGGCTCAACCTGACTCCTCATCTCGTCTTGGCCTTTTTGAATTTTTTTTTTTGCTTTGCTTTATGAGGGAGGGAGGGAGAGAAAGAGACTTGGGGTAAGGAACAAGGTCCAGGTGGAGGTGTTAGTGTGTGCATACCTTGCCGAGACGAGACTACCACTAATACCACTACCTAGCCTCTACTTCTACCTCTAGTTGACTTATCTTTTCACTTCTGCAACACACTTGATCCATTGTTTCTTCCTCTTTCACAACAAACTCTAGCTCCTCGCACGCTGCAATTGATAATTGAGCCTATCGTTATTTGCGCCAGTGTCTGTCTGATTCAGGCACTTGACTTGTCGTCCTTTCTACTCTATCGACGTCATCGCCTGCGAACTGCTCCGCCCGCTGTATATCTTGCTCCATCGCCTCTACAGCACTGTAGCGCCTACAAACTGTACCTATACCTATACCTATAACCATACCGATACCGATACCGTCTTCCACCAACACCTGACACTCAACGTTTTGCCTTTAAACGCCTTGGCAATCCGAATTTTCATTCAATCTCACCTTACGATTACTTCACTTGCTTCTGTTGTTAGTTTGTCTTGCCCAGTACCTCAGATAGCTTCCTCCACTCCATGTAAGTCTACCTGGTCCTCCACACTGTGGCTATACCTATTTTTTTCACCCGCGTCGTCAACACTTGAAATGCGCCCGTAACCCTGCCATACGCAATCTTCACTCAGCGTCAACCTCTTCAAGTGTGACTCAGACTAACGTGGACTCCTTTCCAGATTCGAACTCGGCCTTTGCTATTTCAGCGTTATCTCCGATCTCGTTCCGTTCGCCTTTTATATCGTCTCCGGCCTCATCCCGGCGTTAAACAAGCCTCCCCACGACGTCATCACGCCGAAAAATCCACCCGCAGACTCACTTCAACATCTCGTGCTTCAGCTTGAAGCATCTTCCAAAACTGCCCAAAACGGACGCATCAAGGGGTCGTCGTAGCCGCTCCTCCTCCTTCTTCTTAACTCTCGATCGCTTCTTTCACCCTCCCTAACATCTCCCTGATCCAAGCTCAGCCTTAGCTGCGCCGAAGGGAATCGTCAAGAATCGAGCCGCTCATCACCAGTGAAGTTTGGAATAACCACTGTTGATATCGCGGGAAACAATAACATGGGAAACAACAACTCCACTCCAGGCGGATCCAACTCCAAAGGCTCCGGCTCGGCCGGGCCTGATGGACCCCTCCAATCTTACCCATCGTTCAGCAGATCTGACACCAAGGAATCGTCCCGCTCGTTTCGATCTCTAGGTTCAAAGATTCGTGGTAGCAAGTCTGATAGTCCCAGGAACTCACAGGTTCTATCCAATGGTGACACTGCGACTGAAACCAAGACTGAGGAACGACGGTCCAGTAGGCATGGACGTTCAAGCTCTTCTCGACTGAGCCGCAGTGAGCTTCCTCCGCTCAACACCGCTGCGTCAGACATGTCAGCACCCGAATCAGCCCTCGCAGATTCGGCTATTGGAGACGATCAACCGCCTCCATCTCCCGTTCAAGGAAACGCCAAGGGCGGTGCCCACGATGTGAGCGCTGCGCAAGCGTCGGGAGAGGTTGATCATGTTTCTGACCAACCTCCGTCTGTCAACGCTGGAGCTACTGCGCACATGCAAGCTCCAGGCCAGTCTATTTTGGTGAAGCGAGAAAACACCATCAACCCAGTCAACAGCCCTTCTGCTGAGTCCAAGACAGAAGGAAACTCCAATGTCGCCATGTCTGAGATTAAGGATATCGATCTCGATGACTTTATTAAGCGACTCTTGGATGCGGGTTATGCTGGGAAGGTCACCAAGAGCGTCTGCCTCAAGAACGCTGAGATTGTGGCCATTTGTCAGAGGGTTAGGGAAGTCTTGCTGTCACAGCCTGCTCTCTTGGAGTTGGATGCCCCTGTAAAGGTCGTGGGTGATGTCCACGGCCAATATACCGATGTTATCCGAATGTTTGAGATGTGTGGTTTCCCCCCCAACTCGAATTACCTCTTCCTCGGCGACTACGTCGATCGAGGTAAGCAGTCTCTGGAGACTATCCTGCTACTACTCTGCTATAAGCTCAAGTTCCCCGAGAACTTTTTTCTCCTCCGCGGAAATCACGAGTGCGCCAATGTCACGCGAGTTTATGGCTTCTACGATGAATGCAAGCGAAGGTGCAATGTCAAAATCTGGAAGACGTTTATTGACTGCTTTAACACTCTGCCTATTGCTGCCATTGTCGCGGGCAAGATCTTCTGCGTTCACGGAGGGCTTTCACCTGCGCTAGTTCACATGGACGATATTCGAAACATTGCTCGACCGACAGATGTCCCTGATTATGGGCTACTGAACGATCTTCTTTGGTCTGACCCCGCAGACATGGAACAAGACTGGGAAGCCAACGAGAGGGGTGTCAGTTATTGTTTTGGCAAACGAGTCATTACCGAATTTTTGGCCGTGCATGATTTTGATCTTATTTGTCGTGCGCACATGGTAGTTGAGGATGGTTATGAATTCTTCAATGATAGGGTTCTGGTAACAGTCTTTAGTGCCCCCAATGTAAGTTACACGTCTCCGCGTCTCCTCGGATATCCGGCTAACCCTTGTAGTACTGCGGTGAATTCGATAACTGGGGCGCTGTTATGTCGGTGTCTGCGGAGTTACTTTGTAGCTTTGAGCTTCTTAAGCCTCTTGATTCGAGCGCTCTGAAGAGTCATATCAAGAAGAGCCGAAACAAGCGACAGCACATGCTCAACAGTCCGGTATGTTCCACAAGCAAGCACCTTTAAAACCTGTCTAATCATTGTCATAGCCCGCTATGGTCCAACCTCAGAGCGTGTAATAATATACATTGCAAACACGAATCCGATTTTTATGCCACTTCCTCTATTGAGACATTCATTTAACGAACTACGGCAATCCGAGGGCGACCCGGACATTGCTGTCCAATTTCACCAGAATGAGCGGCGCAAACAGATCGACTCTTGAACCAGAGTATGAAAAGGTCAGATTGGGTTTGGGTACCGAGAACAAGCACACTCAGTATCCAGTTGCCAGTACCACGGTGTGACAGCCGCAAGGTCGCGGCTCTGTTCCGAGTGACGGACGTAACTGTCCTAATCAAAAGACCTGAAATGGTTGAATCGGTACACAAATCCCAGAATAGCGCCGCTGTGTATACGCTTTGGAGTTTGGGAAAGGTTGGCCTATACTTGAGGCGCACTTGTAAATGATTGATTGGAGGATTGGGAATGATGCCTTATAGAGTATTATGGGCTTATAGCAAGATCCGAGATCTTGATTTGTGCATAGCACCAGGAATTGAGTACAGGCAGTTCCTATAAATATGTTTATGCTTTTCTATATGACTTGCACGTAATCGAATGTGATGTTGATGATTGGCCAATGCGGGGTGAAATGCTTAGTCATGGAGTTTGGGACGAAAATTGATCGTCGAAACCACAGACAATCAGCTTCACCACATCAGACAACCAACCCAAAATGCAACGCCACGCCTTCCGTTCGGTGTGCAGCCGGACAAGGCCAGAGCTCGAGCAGGTCTCGGATGCTTTTCGAAACTACGCCCGCCAATTCTCGACAACGCAGTTCCAGGCCGCCGATGGCCCAAGCCCCAGCACTCCGAGGCCACCTCGAAGCTCGGCTGGTGGTCCCAAGGTTATCGATATAAAGAGCATGCCCCTGCGCGGACGTGGGGGCCTCAGAGGGCGCGGCGAAGCTCGTGGAAGAGGAGGTCTCATGTTCAGAGGCCGAGGTGGGCTTGCTAGGGGAGGATCATCAGTTCAGGATCGATCCGCCACACCTGTTCGAACTTCTTCACCGACAAGAGGTCGTGGTGGTTTCGGTGCAAGCAGAGGACGAGGCGGTCGTGGAGGCCGTGCTCGTGGCCGAGGTGGAAGAACCAACGCTCGACGGCCAAGGGACGAAGAGGACAAGGATAAGAAGAAGATCGACCGAAACGAGTTCAACACATTGGATCCCGATGAGAAATCCTTTGACGATAACATTCGATTCGGCATCACCTCCGAATACAGGCCATCTCTCTCGCTCGAATCTATCAACGAATTTGCGCCCATTGCACCAAATTCCACCTCTGGAAAATCGGCCACAGTTCTCCAGAACCTCAGTGTCCTCGGCACAGCGGATCATGTCGGCGCACCAGACACCTTCCAGCCCAAATATTACGCCTCTGAGATAGAGGCCAATGGTATTCGCTTCTTTGCCGACCCGAAAGATAAGGAGGCTACCGAGAAGTACCTCCAGGAGAAGCTCAAGGCTGAAGGCAAAGAACCCACAGGCCCCATCATCACAGACACTGAAGAGTCTATTCGTCAGGTCATCACAAAGCGGGCTATTCAGGGCCAGCATGAGACACCCAAGTTCGCTTCAGACCCTGTTGGTGTCTCTCGCTCATGGCACCTGAGGGCCGAAACTTACTCTACCAACGATGTCAACTCCTTTGAGACGAAGTTGACGTCGCTGCTGGCTAAGAAGCCTGCTGCTGGAAAGGGTGCAAAGGCGCGTGCTTAAAAGATTAGATCTTAGGATCAGTGTACACTTGTCACGATATGTAATACTACAATATTCTGCATCTATCCTATCATACAATTACCATCTATAGTTGACGGATGGTCTGTGCTTCTTCCTGGTCAATTTCCTTCATCTTCTTGTCTTGTACCTTTTGAAGCTCCTTCTCGGCCTTCTTGACAATGTCAGGGAGGACAGTGCCTGACTTCTTCCAGTCCTTGAGTGTCTTTTCATGTCTGGATCTAGCATTGCGAATGCGGTCCTTCCAGTGCTGTACTGTCTCTTTGATCCGTCGCTCGACGTCGTCCTTGCGCTCAAGCTCCACCTTGAGGAGAAGCTCAAGCTCGTTGTCCTCTGATCGCTGTGGTTGCTGGTTGAACTCACGACTTGCCTGCACTGCTGACATGATAGGCTTGATGTACTCCTTGTCGTTCACGAGCAGTGAAATAGCTCGACCTGACCGAGGAACGACTTGCGCCAGCTCTCGTAGAGGGAATGTCACATCATTACCGTCATGATCCTTCATGGGCACAGGCAGGGATCCCAAATTGGTAGGGTTGAATCGTCCGCCATGAATCATACCAGCCAGCTGGGTCTTGAAGTGCGCATCAATAGGAGCATAAGCAGCAATGACAGCTGTAAAATCGAGGGGATCTTCCGGATCCGGCATCGGCACCTTTGCAGTATCGAACTCGGCCTTGTTCATGGAGCCTGCAGCTGCCTTCGCATTGGCGCTGTTGGGGCTGTTACTCGGGGCCGTAATCTTGCGCTTCTTGAGCAGAGAGGGAGACGTGCTGAAGACGCGGGGTGTAGCGGCTATCGATCGGAGGGGAGCTGGGCTGATTTGGTCAGTAAATTGCATGATGTGAGGATTGTGAGACGGGCCGTACCCCTCTGAGCGCACTAGTTGCCGTAGGCAAGTTGTTAGAGGACCATTGGCTCTTGAAAATGCCATTGTGGTGAGTTCGTGTTGTGAAATGTCGTTTCTAGTGTTAGGAGTTTATTCAGTGAGGGTCGAAATTCTTGCGCGACGTCAGATCAAGACCTGGTTGTGAGTGATAAGATAAGCGCTGGGAATGGTCATTGATGGACATCACCCAAATAGTAGCTGCGGGCCAAATGAGAAGTGAGTAAGTCATACTGAATTTTAAATATTACAGTGAATATGTAACTGATGATAATAAATTCCTATTTATTAGATGTAAAGATAGAAGTAAGAAGTGGGTAGCTTTGTTTGAAGCTGTTAGTGACTTACAGCTTTACTTTTAGGATAACCTTTAGAAGACCATTAACTAAAGGTAATTCCTTTCGTACTCCTCGTTTGTAATGCTTAGGGTTTAACGGTATGTAATCTTGCACATGACAGTTGGCTCAATCCTTTTTTCACTGCGAGGCCCTCGTCAAACACTTTCGAGGGGCATTTACGTATATGCTTCAAACATTCCGCTTCAAACATTCCGCAACCTATCATATATATACCACAATAAGCGGCAAAATCCCTTAAACCCGGTCGTGTGGTGTAGTGGTATTATCATGTTTCCTTTACAATGTTACAAATAACAAGTCATCGGAAAAGGTCGCAGGTTCGAACCCTGCCACGATCAACGTGATGCATGATGTGTTGGTACTGCAGTACCAGCAAGTCCATATTTTTGGCTGATGCTCAGTAGTTCACACTTTGCGGGGTAGTTATGGGTCTCTACGACGTATGTAGGGCTGGCGCAAAACGAGTTCATTGGTTAATAGACTTGAAAACTAGGAGCAACTTCGACAGAAAGTAAATCAGCAATTGTTTATTTCAACCTCATATGAACCATGTAATAGTGGGCTGCAGATACTGAGGCAGAAATAGAGCAGCGTTGCAGAGCTTCTCTTTGATTTATAGAACTCAGGTTGAAGAATGTTACGCTCATTGTGGCAGGGTAAAAAGGCAAGGGAGAATATGGCGAAGTTAAGAGAGAAGGGGTTTGACAAGTAAGGCCTTATTGCAGATCATTCTACATCTATATTGTATGATTCCATGTTCCCGACCAAGATGTCTAGAATCACTATGATCTGGGACTATCAAGTATTCCCCTCGCAAATCCTCTACTGAGTCTTACAGAGCGTGCTAGTATGACGGGTAACTTCTTCCAGCCATGTGTTGCAAACCACCAACTTGCCACGCCACTGACTGCGAGACCCGTGAGGCTTATGAACCACATATCCCAGTTCCTCGCCTTCCATATCGGCATACGCATATCCGCTGTCTGCAGATGCATTGGCCGTAACTCAACACCTTTCTTGAACCGAAGTTCTTGGTCTATCATAAGTTCCTCAATAAGATCAGCTGCAACATGTTTACGTTTAGAGTTGAGAGCTGCTATGCCTTGCATGCGACGGACATTCATTGCAAAGGAACCGTCTTCGTCCTTTATGATGTCTGCAATAGCGGAGGAGATGCAGGATGGTGTCAGGTAGGATTTGTCGAGAGACATACCTACACCAGCGGCTTTTAGTCGGGCACTGTTGCAGAGCTGGTCGAAGAAGTATCCGATAGCGAGGACTGGTGTTCCATGGAAGAGAGTTTCGTTGGCACTGGAGCCGCCCCCATGAGTGAGAAAGAGGGCTGTATGAGGGTGTGCTAGGATGGCGCGCTGCGGTGCAAAGACGGGAAGCCGAAAATGTGGGTGAGAATCGTTCAAAAGATCAGTAATGGATATGCTCGAACCATCACATAGATTATAAGACTTGAGGATGTCGAAATTGGCGCGAGGCTTTTGGGGGATAGACCATATGACTCCATTGATCGAGTCTTCGTCGAGAGCTTGGATGAATCCAAGGAGATACTTTTCAAGTTCTTCACCCGGAAGATTGACATGCGTCCCCAGGCACACGTAGATGGTCCTATCATGGTTGCTCAGAAACTGAGCCAGGCCGTCGTCTAATGGAAGGTATTCGTCGCTCAAGATAGGTCCAACAGGTGCCATGAGAGGCGGCAACTCCTTCGGTGCTTCAAGACCCCAGAAGGAGTTGACCAGAACAAGATAGTCAGGCTTGGAGAGAAGAGAGTGGCTATAGTTGACGCCAGCATCAACACGCATTCGTTTGGTCCATATTAACCAGGGGATGATAGTAGGCAGCGCGGCGAGAACCACAAACTCGTTCCAGAACCGCGATGATAGAGAAGCATGCTCCGAAGTCAAGGCACCGTCGGCTTGAAACCCAGGCTGGCCGGGATGATAACTGACGGGAGCCATGGCATAAGGCATTTGGGGCCAGACGCTCGCTAGTTGGATATTGAACTGCTTTAGCATATCCCTCGCGGCGCTATCGGCGAAGAAATCTGCAACGATAAAGTCGGGCCTTGTAGAGTCATTTTCACACAGAGATCGAAGAGACTTGTAAGTATCAGTCCAGAAGTTGTCAAAAAAGTATTTTGACCTCATCATGGGACCGAAGCCGTGCTCATGACGCCAAAGACGCATTGTTTCGTAGTGGATATCCAAATCATCTTCCGAAGCGGCGGGACCGACTGTATATACGGTTTTTATGAAGGGATAATTAGCTGTCCAATCTTCCTGGCCTGCGCAGGTGGCGAATTGGACATCATGGCCTCGAGAGGCGAGGACAGCGCCTATTTCGAGAACTGGAGCTATTGTCGTGTTAGCTTTGGTGTGTGTAAGTTGGAGGGTTCTGGAGAGGTACCTGCATGAGTAAACCCGCCTGTTGTGGCAAGCAGAAGGATTCTTCTGCGGAATCCATGGCTGTCAGCCATTGTATTTAGGCTTAATACTTTAAATTAGAATGTGTGTGTGTGTTGTCGAATCGAGATGGGTTGGTTTATCTTGGTCTATGTATGACGCTTAGTTCCAGTGGAGGTTAACCAATTAATGCCTGGCAAAGCCGGAGCTTGGTTCTTTTCTGTACAGGGCTGAAGTCTGATGATACCCGGCAGCAGAGAAACGAAGCATTTACCATTTAGGGAGCCCTGTTCAAGTAACATAAATACTTGGACAAGTTTAGGATAGGCTACTTATAATAAACTTGGTAGACTTCGAGGTCTTCCAACAACCAAAGCTTGGCATAAGCACGGCGAGGGAAAGGACATCATAGATAGTCGATAACATTCCATTTCTCGTCTATCTCTATTATCATCGTCCATCGTATAGTCTTGTCTGAACTGGAGGACGTCATCTAACTCGCTTTGGACAAACACCAATGCCATGTTCGATCCTCCTCTTGGTACTCGGCACACTTATGTATATTTATACTCAATCCAGGGCTCATGTCTGTCTGCACAAGGCATTACCAACAGCAATCCTAACGCCGTTCCCATGCTTTCCACGTGCAACATTACCCAACTAAATGTCCCTTTTTCATCTCAACCCGCTCATCGTCGAGATACGTTCAACGTTGTCTCGATATCATCGACCAATCCAAGACAAAAAAACTAGGACAGCATCAAATAGCTAATTCATCCAGCGTCAAAACTGGCGTTCAGGGGGGTATAAAGCGTTTTCCGGCTGCAAAGGCAAAGTCCGGATTCTCAGAAACGAAGTGAAAGGTAATTACGAAAAGTCATCAGGTCGTCCGGGTCTGGCCATATCGCCGGCTTGTTGAGCCAACTCCTTGGCCTCACGCGCCAGCCCAAATGCGATGGGTGGCAGGGTTTGTACCCACATGCGCCATTCGTGAGAGTTGGTATCCATGCCAATGTTGGCCATGTCTTGGCCTTGGTCAGCAGCCTCTAGGAGTCGTGCTCTGCAGTTTGCCAACGAGGCTGCCATTTCGCCTATGCCGTAGGCTTGTGTTTCTGAAATGATATTGCTAACAACGGCATTGATAGAGCCAATCTCGCCAGTAATCTGTCGCATCTCAGCATCACCCCGGATCGTGTTCACAAGCTGCTGGATGTCGGTTGAAAGGAGGGCATTCTGGTCCTCAAGGTAGAGCTGAGTAGTTGGTTAGTGATGTTGAGGATCTAGCGTCGAAGGGTAACTGACTTTAAGGTCTTCGGCGGCTCGGGGGTCCAGCTGATGTGATCCTTGCCCATTGGCTTGGTTGTTCGCATTGGAGTGCCCGAGCCCGATCGGTACCGCGCTCGCTTTGGACATGGGCCTTCCGGAGTATGGCTCCGCGGATTGGCGAGGTGAGCCCAAAGGACTGTATGCCGAAGAGTCAATGCTTCCTCGCATACCACCAAGACCCTGGAAGGGCGGTGGGGGAGGGAGCCCGCCTTGAGTAGTCGAGGGATGCTCCGTAGCTACAGGAGAAAAGAGTCCACTAGAATCCGCGGGAGTTACAGTTCCGTCGTCATCATCCAATTCTTCAGCTGGGGTTGTCCGAATTTTGACCAGACCAAGAAGCTCCACGATGGCCGCTGCCAAGTGTGACGCTGCCGTATCGAGCAGTGAGACCGGGGACATTCCAGCACTATGGGCAAAGTTCTTGGAGGCTGTGATGAGGTTGTTTGCGGTGGAAGATACCTTGGATCTGATCTTGGCCTGTTGCTGTGCGAAGTCTTCATCACTATTCTGTGGGACTTCTATGTCCTTGGTAATGCGGCGGACGCTGACAACAACTTGCTTCATTGCGTCGATAACCTTTTCTGGATCCTCGGTTCGTGCTTTTTGCAGGAGTTCGTCAATGGCGATTTGAAACTTGGTGACGTGAACATCTTTGACAAGTCCACGGTCATCCATGAATCCCTTTTCCCGGACATGCTTTGCTGCATCATGTTCAATTCCAGGACCAGCGGAAGATGCGCGCATGTGTCGCAATTGCGTCTTTGCGCCCGCGTATCGGTTCTTCCACTCGTGAACCTCGCGCTCGAGTCTCTCGATTGTCTGTTCCAGCTCTGCGTGTCGTTCGTGTGTTGAGCCGCTCTGCTGGGAAAGTTGGCGCATCTCAAGCAAGAATTCTTGCGCCTCTTTCCGAACCTCTTCTGTGACCTGCTGTTGTTCTCGGAGTTCCTGTCGAAGCTCATCATTTTCCCGCTGAAGGTCTGAATCCGATGCAGCGGGCCCAGTGCTGCGTGCTGATTCATGTGCTGCGGTCACGTCGTCCCTAAGCCTTTGAATCTCAATGTCGTGATCCTCCCGTACGCGCTGCAATTCCTGCTTCATTGAGTCGTTCAAGTTTTGCGCCTCAGCTAGTTTGTTCTCGAGATTGAGTCTCAGCTCATTCCATTCCTGCTTCTCCTGGTTGGTAGTGGCAGACCGAGAACGTTCCTGATCCAACGCACTGTTCATCTCGTCTTCCTTCTTCCTCATGGCATCCTCCATACTGTCCAATTTCTCACGTAGTTCTCGTACCTGATTTTGATAGTCCTCGATGAGCTTCTTGTCGGCCTGTGAAATGTTAGGCGTTTTGTTGTTTCTAAGCTGTAGCAGCACAAACCTCTGAAGTCACACCGCTTCCAGCACTCCGTTTGCTCTCACGGTTCGGGTCCGGTTCTGTAAATCCTTCACCTTCGTCGTCTTCTTCGAGCATTATACTTTTGTTGGGAACGATCGTATTATTCTGATTGAGCTGTTTCGGGGTTGGGCGTCCGTAATCGCCATTCTGGGCACCTGGTGATGCTGGCATACCGTAAGCATCTGTCGGTCCAGGACCTCTCATAGATGGTGCATCAGAGGGTCTCCTCATGCGGCTTTGACCTCGAGGGGGAAAGCCATTACCATTAATTGGAGTACCCGGCCCCCTGATTGACATGGGGCTTCCGGTACGGGCGAGATCGGCTCCTACGAATCGAGGGAATCTTCGTTCTAATTCGTGATAGACATCGGCGGCTAGATCTCGAAATCGCGGTGGGCCAAGAGACGATAGCCTTTGGCGAGCCTGATTTCGCTTTGGGTGAAAGTTCTTCTCGGGCAGCAGAAAGGAAGGAGGACCATTTGGAGCATTCGGCGGAGCCCTGGCAGTGGCCTGTCGTCTTATCAATTCGTCAAACACATCGGTACTCAGCTCATAGAATTGAACCGAGGAAAGGCGCAAAAGCTTGTCGCGGGCTTTATTGGGCTGCTGCTTGTGATTGGGGTCGCGGGTATTGAGAAAAGCACGCAGAGCAACATAGTGCTCGCTGAGGACGGACTCGTCGAGATCGCCGCGGACGCTGTTACGACCGCTTTCGCTGCGAGCATAGAGCTGGGTGCCGTTACTCGACCGAGCAATCGAAGCAGGCGGCGAGGGACCTCCAGTGCTTCTAGGGCCAGGCCCGGGCCCGGGACCAGGTCCTGGACCGTTGATAGGAGCGCTGGGGAAGCCGTTGATACTCATGGTGCTGTTGGAGCCACCCGAATTCGGGGGCGATGCGAGATTGGAGCGACCGTTGGGATAGGCGCCGTCTTCGGGACCTTGATACTTTGAGACAGAAAACTCGCTACCGCCTAGAGAGATCGGGGACAACGGCGCATTGCGTCCCAGGCTGATGCTCATGATGGAGAGAAGAAAAAACAGAAATGCGAAACCGAGATGATGCTGGAGGGAGATGGAACTGGAACAGCACCAGCCGCCTGTCTCATATGGACGCCACACGGGGACAGGGTCGAAATGAATGCAGGCTGCAGGCCACCTGTAGGTAGGTAACTACCTAATAATGGTTGGAATCTTTTTTAACCACTGGAAGGCTCCCCCACAACTTTGGCGACCTTTCAGGGGGCGACGGGCGATAGAAGCGCCAAGCTTCAGCAGGTGGCCGGAAGCGACGAAAAGCGGATGGACGGTTTGGAGCGTGGCTTCAATGACAGGAATGAATGATGGAGGTGGTGATGTCCAGATACGGTGAACTTGAAAGAAATGATAAGAGTCGAAGAGCAGGGGAAAGCAAGGTAAGATAGGTAGGTATTTCTGGCCAATCCTTGTCTATTTGCGTCTTCCTTTCGGTATAAAAGTTGGATGAAAGAGACTGGATCAAGGGCAATCAAAGAAGAGGGACAAAGAAAGAAAGTAAGAAAGAATGCAACGCAATGCAGATCAACCAACGATCGACTCAAGTCAATCAACTCAAGTGAATTCATCAACTGACCCTGACCGACCCCAATTCCATGGATCCAAAAGGGGGTTCAAGTCAAGTTGGATTTAGACCGGATCGGGTGTGGTTGGAACTTGGATGGATGGATGTTCAGGGGACAACTCCACCATCATCACCAACCGGACCTGACCTCACTCAGCTTAACTTGTTCTAGAAAATAGCGTGCGTACGTACGGATACTGTGCAGGCAGTTAAAGCCATGGTGCCCCAAGTTTTGGGTGGACAATCCGAGGCGAACGAGTGGACATCGGACAGATACAGACAGATTTGCGGGAAATGAGTTCTCGGTCTCTGTCTTCTGGGGTGAGCATCCAGAATGTCCGGGTGCCCCGGTCTGGCAATTTATTAAATCGTTCAAGACGGAGTGTTAATTTCTTGAGTCCACCGAGACTGGATAAGGTACTGTTCGGAATTGGGTTATCGAACAATAGTTGATAGTAGTTGGGACCAACTCTGACCTTCCAGCTACCTCTCCTAGTCGTCTACCGCTTTGGCTTGGCTGATATTATCAAGACGTCGAATTGGCTTCTCGCATCTGCCGCTCAAGTGTTAAAGCACCAGATGGAATGATATGACCCCATGCAAGGGGACGGGCGGGAAATAAGCAGAACAGCCAATCTCGATGCAACCTGTGCTTAAGCCTGGGCACCTTATTCAATGTCCGGTCCACTGAGCACACTGCGCTTTGCTAAAGAGCTCCAGTTAATGCACCCCTGCCCCTGAACCAGCAAAGGCGACTCTTTCTCGCGAGCTCTGATTTGACCAACGACCCTGGTCAGGCGTTCAAAGCTTAGCGGGTTGCCGAGCGAGGCGCTGGGGATAGGCGGGTCTTGGTAAAGTCGGCACGTGCTTGGTACTAGGTACGCGGCTAGACAAGGTGCTTGTACAGCCACCCGGACCTACAGGCCGGAATAAGTTGATAATGGACAACACAATATCATAAGATTCATAAATAGGGCACGATATTAGAAGTGGAAAGATAATAGCACGCAAACCCTCCTTTGAGATCTAATGTCATTGCCGTATAGTTAATTGATCGATCAAAGGACTGAGAGATTCTGATTTGTGACGAACCAATTTGCACTATTATGTGTCTCAGACATTACGCCATACTACATAAGTGAACAGAAGCATAAAGGTAACATTAGTAACTTGACTTGTTTACCACTTGATCTCATTTCTCTATCATGTCATCCATGATGTCCTCAAACATTCCAACCCAATGTTCCTCTTCTCCTACTTCTCCCACAGAGGAGGCCACGCAACTTGATCTTAGGCTACAAAAACATTTAGACACCTTAGGACAGGCTCAGGCAAGCTCAGGACAAACTTAGAGGGTCCTTTGACTAATTATTTTCTACCCCTTGATCCAATACCCTCAGCTTTTCTGCTGGTCCTTCATCATTCCTCTCCCCCGGCGCCAAGGAACCTTATCCAGGCCTCCATATCAGACGCGAGTGTGTCTCCAATCTCAGCATCGATGATACCCTGTTGCCAACTGACATCAACGCACATCTCTTTGCCCTTTACGCTAATCGAGCTGATATGGAACACAGGCGAAGTGAGTTCACAGCTCAGCTGAAACACAGCTCTCTCGATCCTCCAGCCTGAGCCTTCAATGGCCCCATCCAGTGTCCCTAAATTGGATACACCCCAGGCACCTACTCGGGGCTTCTTGAGCTGCTGCTTCTTTTGAACTCGCCAGTCTTTGACCAAGTTCATCAAGCCTGAAGGGTCATTTTCCATGCCCTTGTCGAGTTTGTTTTGGATATCCTCTCTAGCTTGCACAGCAGCTGCCCAGACAAAGTTCTCGAGTTGAGTCATGGTATGTGATTGTGATGGTATTCCTTTGGCTTTGGAGCGGATTTCTGTGACTAGATCCTCACCAAACATGTGGTTAACAAGTGTCATCTGGTTATCCATGGTCGTACTAGGAACATGCCAAGGGTATGCCTCAGAATTGGCGGGGATGAAGCGACGGGTATCCAATGCACTGATAGCAAACATCGACTTTGCCTCTTGTTTGTGATGCTTCCTGCCCTCATCTAATTGCAGGGCAAGCGATACCAGCGGAAGGGCATGCAAAAGGCCTGTAATGGTGGTACGATGTGCTCGGCATTTGCTCAGTACCTTCTTCAGCGTTGCATCTTCAATCGAGAACGTTCTGAACTCAGTTTGGTAAGGTTCCTGGCGAATAGGGGCCCAGTTGGCCTGGGTTGGGTCGTTTGACACAAGGAATGGAGGCCTCAGTTCTTTCCAGATTGTCGCCAAAGCGAACCCCCACGAGATTGGAATCTTGATGAGCTCTTCTGGAGGAGGGGGGAACCTTTCTGCAGTACTGCGAAGATGAAGAACGTTTCCTTCCAAATTGACTTCGTGGTCAGTCTTCGAATCATTGAGATTGCGTAACAAGGTCTGGTGTAGGATCTTGCCTCCTACACCATCGAAGTTGGTATGGTTCCAGCAGAAAATAACATCCAATGACTGGATACTACCTTCTGACCATAGGATTGAGGCTCTCCACCCTGGCTTCGTTTCGACATCTGTAAACCAAGTATCGAGTTGGTTCCGAATCTCATGCTTCAAGGAACTATCATAATCATCAGAGGCTTTGATCTCTTGCCAGCTGATATGCAGACCAAGGTCGACAGTTTCCAGCTCAACCCATGAAGGCACAGCTGAGTTCTCGTTTAAGATACCCACTTGCAGCATGGGATGTTCAGCCACTGTAAGTGCCATAGCCCGATGGAAGGCATTTTGGATAGTCTCAAATGAGCCGCCAATGAGATGACTGGGGAGGCCATAACGGCAGACTACTGCAGTACCACAGCTATGACGCAAAGTGTGTAATGCCGAGTGGTACAACTCTCTGGTTAATAGTTAGGTTTGGCTCAGCTGATAGGAGTTGAAAGGTTCCATACAAGTTGCTCATTGGTCGAATAACCTTAGGCTCTTCTCGTAGTGCCATTTTAACGTATATGCTGCTCAAAATGCCATGAAATCGCTGTTATCTTCGAACTCTATTTCATTCACGAGTATCACGGCGATTGGTTTTTCGCTTTGTTTTATCTGGTTTCCGAAGGATGCGGACTCCGCGGGCCACCAGGTGAGCTTCCCGCGGATGAGCGAGTAGGATTCAACTGCATATATCTAAAGCGGCAAAGGAATGCTTCTTACATGCAAGGATAAGAGCATCCGAAAGGCCTAGTCCATACAACACCAAATTATGTTGGTAGTGCAGGAGAAACAGCAAAACTTCAGGCTCCTCAATAACAAAAAGATTCAGGTAAACTTGTGAGGTTATTAAACCTTTAGGTTAATCTTTTTTTCTGCACTTCAATTAACAGTCAGAAGTTTTCTCAGCATGCCCTCACAGTCATAACCATCCATGCCGACTTTGCCATACCCTATTGCAAGATTGTGGTATTCGCAGGTCTAGAACCACTCATGTGTATGGAGTAATAGTCATCAGCAGGTGAATCGACGTTCACACCACCCAAGCCTCTGAGATAACGATCCACCAAAGAAAGCTGTGGCGTTCGTACTAATTTAGATTCCCGTCCTGTTCGTTCCCATTACGCGGCTTTGAATGACAAAACGAGGTCTATGTTAACTGGCTGCCTCTTGAAAACCCCTGGGCCTATGGCAGGGAGTTCCATGCTGCTGAATGACAGCCAGTGACCTGTCATGTAAGCTGGTTCTCCTTAGGACTCTTCATGTTATGTTCGTCGCTGGAGACTTCTCGCTTGGCCAATTGTAGCAGACACATCACATCAGCATCGATATAGCAGCTATAAATGCCGCTTTGCATGAATCATTTAAGTGGCTGTGCTAAAATGATCGCCAGCGCCATCTGTTGCGTAATCGAATCCAAAACCTTGTCCGATTTGAACGAGATCAATCTTGATCAGTCTTCCCTGAAACATTCACTATCCATGCAGGCTGGGCAATCTTCATATAATTTTGAAGCCGGTTTGTGATCGACACTTCTTATCTGCCTATGAAAGGTATGCGCCTAATACACTGTGGGGGTCCCTTAAACAGCTACAGGATCTCCTTGATCGCGAACCTCCTTCAGGGATAGTAACGGAATGGCCGGCAATGAAAGGTTTAGGCGACGAGGCACCCGTATTATTCATATTCAGCTGCCCATGGATTTGTGATAATAGTGGTGAGGGGCTGAGCCCTCCTGGGTGTAATGAATCTTCAACCCCGACTATACCGGGTTTCGGGTATCTACGATTAAGAGATAAGAACGAATATCCCCTTCACAGACACTCAAGTTCATTATACTGTCCATCCAGGGGACAGATCTAAATCTTTGCAAACTTGCGTATACCACCTGCCAAGTTGCTGTTATACTTTAGCACCGAAGGCCTTCGTCGTATGATATGGCAGTCGCATCACAAGGTGTGTAGTATGGCTGTGGTTTTACGCGGATTAGAACCAAGCCACGGTCCAGGTCGCTGGCAGTTTGGGCCATCTTTCCTGCCATGAAGCCAGAATATCAGGTACTCGCTCATCAAAGGAGGCTCTGCTTGAGGCAGAACCATTGTCAAAGGACGAAGCACCAACAGCGTCACGCTCTTCACGAGCAGCCGCGTTGAGAGAGTTCGCAAGATCCAAGATACCCTGCCCACCAATGGCGGCCTCTTCGTGGTTATCCTTAATCTCGACATTGATGACATGGACAGGTCGGTTGAGCGGTGACCCCCTGTTAAGGAGATCATCGACAACAGCATCCCAGCATCGCTCTTCACAGGTGATGACAACATCGACTAGACCACCTTCGGTACCCTCGCTGCCACGGTCCTTAGCATGCTGCAGGCGAGGTACACCAACTTGCCAGTCTTGCCAGCGTTCTGGGCCCCATTTGACGCCACGGTTACGGTTTAACATGTTAAGGATGCCGTTGTTCCTATACAGCCGAGCATCCTTGGATTCAAGCTCCTTGAACATACTGTCATAAGAAGTTTTGTTAAAGTGATACACATTAGGTTGGGTAACGGTAGGCCCAGGCAGGCGGACGAGAGAACCGGTGCCGAAGGAAATGACAGGATAGTCAGCCTGCGATAGCCGTAGATGAGCTTCCATGGAGCTTCAGGATGAACATTAGCACAACGCTGTCAGAAATGAGACACGCATCTACGAACCGATTGTTGTTACTAGCACAGACAGTGCAAAACTTGAGTTTGTATCCGGTGTTGCTTTCAGATGAGCCATTCTGGCTCTGGGCCGAAGAGCCACCGTTGGCAACCTCCATATTTCCGAGTTCCTAGCCGGGCGAGAAAACGAGGTTGTTGGCGGGCGGAAAGGCGCGTGGCATGCTTTGCAGAGACAGAGCGATAGACTGTGCGGCACTGTGTTAGTGCATTGCATTCAAAAAGACGCAAGTTACAAGAGAAGTGCAGGGTCATCATCAGATAAAAAAGCGTATAAAGTGTCTTTTCAGCAAAGAAATTCAGACAGCTCCAATATGTTAAACTCATCATGAAAGAAAAGGAAATCGCGCGTTTTCCTACTTACCCAGCTTTTTTAAGTCTCGAGTTAGCACACCAATAGCCACTTCATGTCATCGTTGTCCGGTTCCTTTGGTACGCGACGCAGTCTGGTGATGTTTATTGAAAGAAGAGGTTGAGTTTTGAATTGCTGCGAAGTTGGGAAAGTTAAGATAGGGCGAGCTAGCTTCTGGCTAAAGTCCGGTAGAGCCTGATGAGTCAGCAAACTCCCTCTTCCCTTCGGCTTTCATTGACCTCTGATGCCAACCTGTGTAAATGAGCCAATGCCCCCGTCTTAGAACACTAGGTAGTTCTGATTTTCAGGTACTCAGATCATGAGGCTGTCTAAGCATCAAGTCAAATTGCACAATATTCCTCTTGTGCGTGTTAGCAACAAAGGATATCATAGTTGCGGTCACTTATCGGCCAATAGAAGGTCACGTGTCGCTCGGATGGGAGTAGTATCCGTACTACGGATGCAATTGCCCTTGCTACGGTGTTAATGAGGGGTGGAGGGGGTTAGGCTTGCTGTGCTCTGTAAAGACAGTTGATATTGATTCCTTGTGATTCTTGAAGCGACCAACAGGGAGATCTCCACCAGCGAATTTGATCTGCAAAGGCTATTGGCTTTTAAACGCCCGCATAACCTGAAACAAACGACGATTTGGTGTAGCCAATCAACGAAGGCACCAAATTTAGCCCAGAATAGAAACCTCACCGGTCACCCAAGGCACCGGCTGGTCCTTTCTGTTCACGTATGTACTCAGTATAAGAGAGCTGGGTCATGGAAGAAAAAAGAAGAAAACTGGGTGGGTATCAAGTTGTTGAATTTAACTCTAACTGTGAAATTGTGTCAAATAGACTATGTTGACATTTTGAGCCTCATGCCTGGTTAGTATGGTAACACCAGGTGGTTGCTATCCTGCATCTCTCTTTTACCTGTGATAACCCTGCAGACTCAATTACACTACACCAACTTGGCACCAGATGCAGAATTGGTTCCGTACTGAACGGGTTTGTGGGCGGGACTCAGAAGTCATCAAAACCTCGGCCACCGGGAGGAGATCACGGATCGTGACCCAAGTAAAGAACCTGGAACGAGATTATCGAGGCGCTGTAAACAATTAATATAAAAAAACCATACATACGCGTGTATACCTAGCAAGAGGATCACTACATGACATGATGACCCTGTTCGGTTTTGCCTTGCTGCCAGCTCGCTACGTAACCAGCATCGATCTAGAAGCCCCTGCCATACAACCTTCGGGGTCTAGTTTCATGATCCTGCACACCATGGTGATAGTAATTTCCAGAAAGGCCTGAGTAAACAGAGAGGATTATTTCATTGCGACAGCAACAATGCAATAACCGGAGATTACATCCATGGCAGCCCGGTCTGATCCATCTGCCAGCTAAGTTTACTTTCCTGTATCCATCCATACCCAGAAGAGATGAACAGGGTCACCTTTCCAGATTGAGGTTCCAACGGCCCGGGTGGGTATACAGGGAGATCCTCGCTCAGAGTTGTCGTATGTCTTGTTGGGTTTACCGTATTATGTGTGCGTGTGCGTATGCGCATGCGCATGCAAGACGACGACAGTCATCTTTTCGGGATGAACACGAGGGAGGGCGAGAACCTGAAAGGATCAAGGCTTCAGAGGGGCTGAAGCAGGGTAGAGGGTTTGAAGACAAGTGCGAATGATTGTGTGGCGCCTTTGGTTGTTACAACCCGAATTTAATTAATCAGATGGGCCGGATGAGATGCGGCTCCTCCAGGGTTGGTATAGAGACATGCACATGCTTTGTCCAAAAAGATACAGATAGGTAAAGGTAGGTACCTAAGGAAGTTGTTCATTTGAGACAATGACCAACTAACAGCTAAATAATAACCATAAAACCTCATAATGACCTGTAAAAGCAGAGTAGGGTATCAATGTACCGTCATCATGGAAACTTTACAATGACTTTCGTCTTTGATCCTAAATTTAGGTCTAATAAATGCTGGAAATTTAGTCAAGCATACCCCTCATTTGGGAACTGCCCGACCGTTGGATGTCACATTGAGCCAACAGGAGGTCTCTTCCATTAACGTTAACCTTGATATCTCTTCTCACTTGCATATTAACTCTTTACTAACATCATCCCACATCAGTCTCCTGCCTGCTAGCGCCCAGAGAGCAAGCGGCGACAAGTGACAGAAAGATTTCATTCATATTCGAGTCTCATTGGGCTCCTTCTCTCCGACTTACAGGCGCTGACTCGCTTGATCTAAGACCCCTGACCAGTCGGATTGGTGCGCAAAGCGCTTGCTTCAGTGGTGTGGTGCGCTATTGCGCCCAATTGTGCCCCACTACAGCCTCCAGCTCCCGGGCCCGGACGTGCCAACGGGCGACCTTACCGGGTACAGTACTGTCTCCCCCAGGTCACTTCCACTCTCGCGAGGATTGCTAAGGTGGGCAATCCATCGATTGATGGCCTTCCTCGCTCGCTTCTCTAACCCAACTTCACCTCACACTCATCACAATCCGTCTTGGGATCACATCCTACCCCAGTCCAGTCCAGTCCAGTTCAGTTCCGTTCAGCCCAGGCCAGGCCCTCTTTGGTTTCTCGCCTCGCCTAGAGCGCAAGCGCAGGCATTTTTGATCAGACCCGACAGCTACTGTACAGCGTGGTGCCCTTGTTCCCGAGCACCGGCAGCAAGACCAGGGCATTGTTTTCTCTTCTGTTCTTGTTTCTGTTTCTGTCAAGTTGCTATTACTTCTGCTTCTGCTTCTGCTTCTGCTTCTGCTTCTGCTTCTCTACGCTCCTTCGCACTCCCACTCCACACTTGTAACCGACTCATCTCGTGCTTTGCCGCCTGACGACTGGTCGTCTGGCATCATCTGCATTAGGGCTTGGCTCAGCGTTGACTATTATACTTGGAACTCGACTGGAGCCCTTGCTGGCTCACGCCTTAGCGCTACGGCTGACTTGACGTCCGCCGCCTCGAGAGCTCAACTCGAACGAGACCAACTTGGAGCGTCGAGCATTACAAAACGCAAACCAAAAATATCGCATCGAGCTCTCCAGTGCAGAGGTCGCTTTTGTTCACCATATTTGCCGCTTCAATCTCGCCGCCGATACCTGTTCTTCTAGCGCACCCGTCTAACTGTCAGTCTTACTGCAGCCCCGCGAGACCTTCTCTGCTGCACGCTCATCCTTCGGCGTTTGCGCGGCCGCGTGCGCCAGATCGCACGACTGTCGCTAGGCTTTTTCTTAAAAGGCATGTCGACAACGGCAGTTATGTCTACGACTTCTTCTCCAGTGACCTCTCCTTCAGCAGCCGTATCCTCTTCTCCGAACCCTAATCACCCCGCGCTGCCACCTCTAATCACCTCTCCGCCTTCGCGCCGAAGCATACAATCGCGACCAATGTCCCACGTTTCCAGAAGCCGACTCTCTCAATATTCGACGGGCTCTCTGCCTACAAGATCCCGTCCGACCTCACATATGTTTCCGATGTTCCCCTCGACTCTCTCATATACCCAAGTGCGGGACTTTGCGTACCCTGCTACTCATCCTCTGCACTACGGGCCGCCGCCAGAACCTTCGGGACCGCCTTCCGGTATGACAACACCTGCAAGCGAGCATCGTAGGTTATCAGATCCCCCAGTATCGTGGGAAACACGTATGCCTTGGGAGTCGTGGGGTACAGATGGATTCAACCGTGGCCATGATTTGGCCCCCATTCAATTCGACGGTGGGCCCCCATATAGCGAAGACGAGGATCTGCAAAGCCCTGTTGTAGCTACACGCCACCGCAAGCACAAATCAACCTCGGCAGCGACAACCATGAGGGGGAGGACAGGTCGCGATCTTGATATGCATTCTTCGAACTATGACCGTGAGCGGGGTTACTATATGGGAACTAGCGGAGACGGTAGCGAGACATATTATGTCAATAACGGTGGCGAGGCCAACGGCCCCGGTGGAGATTTTGTTACATATCCTCCAGAGCAGGCAAGACACAGTCGGGCATATCACATTGCCCAGCAACCCCGGGCTGCCGAGGGCGGTGAGTACTATCAGCCCGAGTCTGACAGTTCCCCATCGTCTCCAGGCTACAATGACGAGGACCAGTCTCGCTATTCACGAGATTACCAGTTTACTATTACATCGCCGGACGAGGAGTTCCACGGCAAAGCCGTCGCCCTGTTCGATTTCGAGCGGGAAAACGAGAACGAATTGCCTCTAGTTGAGGGCCAGATTATCTGGGTGTCGTACCGGCACGGGCAAGGCTGGCTGGTGGCTGAGGACCCGAAGACTCAGGAAAGCGGCCTGGTGCCCGAGGAGTATGTCCGACTACTTCGCGATATCGAGGGAGGAATGAACAGCTTGGCTGGTCACCTTGTGGAGGGAACTGGCTCCCCTGATGTGGGCACACCTACTCAAGCGGAGCATAGCGGTCAATATGGCCATACTCCATCTTCCAGCAATGCGACTAACGGGTACCATCAGCCAATCGTGTCGATGTTCTCGACCTCGAGCAAAGACCTTGACCCGTATCCCACTGAGCAACTGGGCCTCCACTCCGGACAACCGCCTCCCCAAGTTGTTCACTACCACGGGCAACGGGGAGGTAGCCAAGCAAACACACCGACGATTGCTCAGCCTCAAGATACTGGTATTTTGAGGAGGGAGAGTCACGACGGTGGAACAAAGAGGGACTCGAATGTTACGCCAGTACAGACGAAGCCACCAATGGAGTTGGTCGAGCCAGGGGGCT